TTCAAGACGGCCCAAGCTAAGAGGTCTCAGAGGCCAAAATCTGATGTGCCTTAGGTTTTTGAAAGATTTTGGCATTTTCGCCGTTTCGGCCTTCCGACGGCCCAAGAGGCCCCCAAGATCGCCCAAAAATCGCCCAAGAGGTCTCCAAGATGGCCCCATGACGGCCCAAGAGGCCCCCAAGATGCCCCCAAGAGGGCCCCAAGACGGCCCAAGAGGCCTCCAAGACGCCCAAAATGCCTCCAAGACGGGATGGCCCCAAGATGCCTCCAACACTGCCCAAGATGCACCCAAGACGGCCTGAGATAGCCTCCAGATGGCCCAAGACGGCCCAAGAGGCCCCCAAGAGGCCTCCAAGACGGCCCAAGAGGCCTCCAAGAGGTCCTCCAGTACTAGGGCCCGAAGAGGCAGTCGCTTTTGCTCAAGCCGTGCCTCGCCTGGGCCCGCGCCGTCCTCAGGATGGCAGCTGGGGCCGCTGCGCGCGCTGACGCTGGCGACGCGGGTGCGGCGCGCCGCAGGGCCCTCGAGGCGGCCCGCGGCGCGCTCCTGGCGGCGCACGCTGCCAGCGGCCTCGCAGGAGTGGCGGTGTCCCGCGACGGGACCCGCCTCTTGCGGGCCGCCGAGGGCCTCCTCCGCGCGGCCATCGCGGAGCTCGGCGCGCGGGCTGCGCCCGCCCCGCCGGCGCCGGCAGCTGAGGGCCGCCCCGGGCGGCGCAGCCGGCCGCGCGGCCGTGCCGGGCGTGGCGCTGGGGCTCCGCCTGGCGCGCAGGGCGACCGCGATGGCGACGACGTGGAGGAGCGGGGCGGGGGTGCGGAAGGGGTAGCACGGGCTGCTGGAGCGCTGGGTGGGGCCCCAGGCGCGACGGCGGCGGCGCAGGCTCGGCGGCGGAGACGCCGCGCGCGGCGTGCGCGGGCGTCGGAGGCGGCAGCGGCGGTGGCCGAGCTGCCCGACGACGACGGCGGTGGCTCCCTGGACGACTCCTGGGCGGACGGGCTCGGCAGGGCGCCCGACGTGGGGGGGGCGACGGCGACAGCAGCAGCGGTGAAGCAGGCGGAGGCGGCCGCGGGAGCGGCAGCTGGAGCCAGCGGAGCGGCTGCGAGCGGCGGGGTGGCCGCTGGGGGGGCAGGCGCGGGCCTTCGGTTCGTGCAGGTGCCGCTGGCGGGGCCGCCCGTCGCCGAGGGCGAGGGCGAGGAGAGGGAGCTGTCGCCTCCTGTCGGTGGTGCCGTGTCCTGGGCCGTGTGGCCGCCCCCGCTTGGCGCGCGGTTGCGCGCTGTGCAGGGCCCCTGGGAAGGGCGCGAGGGCGTGGTGATGACCGTGGGCTCGGCCGCCGTGACGGTCAGGCTCGACAGGCTCGCCGTGCCGAAGGGCAAGATCGTCCCGATCTTCCTCGACGACCTGGCGGGGTCGTGGGAGGCTCTCGACTGAGGGCCAGCCTCCAGCGTGGCGGAGTCCGCGGCGTTGGATCAGGGGTGAAAAAAAAAACTATGGCCCGAAGAGGCCAAAATCATTGATTACCCTTGGTTTTTGAAGGATGTTTGCACTTTCGCCTTTTCGGCCTTCCGACGGCTCAAGACGGCCCCAAAGGTCCCCAAGATCGCCCACGAGGCCTCCAAAATGGCACCATGACGACCCAAGAGGCGCCCAAAACGGCCCCAAGAGGGCCCAAGAGGCCTCCAAGACGGCCAAAATGGCCTCCAAGACGGCTAAGATGGCCGCAAGATGCCTCCAAGACGGCGCAACATGCATCCAAGACGGCCTAAGATGGCCTCAAGATGGCCCAAGACGGCCCAAGAGGCCCCCAAGAGGCCTCCAAGACGGCCCAAGAGGCGTCCAGGAGGTCTCCCAGGAGGGCACGAAGAAGCCAAAATCATTGAATTTCCCCATGGTTGTTGAAGGATTTTGGCATTTGCTTCTTCTCGGCATTCCGACGGATCAAGACGGCGCAAGAGGCCCCCAAGATCACTCAAGAGGCCTCCAAAATGGCCCCATGACGGCCCAAAGGGCCGCCAAAACGGCCCCAGGAGGGCCCCAAAACGGCCCAAGAGGCCTCCAAGACACCCAAGATGGCCTCTAAGAACCCCTGATATGCCCCAAGAAGGCCCCAAGACGACCAAGACAGGCGCCCAGTCCGGCTTCCGACGGCGTCAGGCAAGCCAGGAACGCCCTAAGACGGCCAAAAAGGCCCCAAGAAGTCCCCAAAGGCCCCCGAAAACCCTCCAAGAGGCCCCCAAGAAGCTCCAAGGAGGCCCCACGAGTGCCCCAAGAGGCGCCCAAGAGGCCTCCTCCTCCTCCTCCTCCTCCTCCTCTTCTTCTTTTTGTTCTCATCCTCCCCCTCCTCCTCTTCTTGCTCCACCACGCGTTCCCCGAAGTCTTTCCAAACCGACTCGGGGAACAACTGGCCCGATAGCTTGGCCAAGCTCTGGCCCAGCTGTCGACCACAGAGGCGCTTCCAAAGGGGGCAGGGGGCGGCGGCGATTCGCCGTAGGCGACTTCGATAACGCCAACGTCTCAACATGCGCTGATGATTCCTGCCCGCCCCCGCATGATGTTCCCAGATGAGCCAAGGCAGCGCCGAGACGCACCGACGCGACTCAGATATATCCCATTATGATAGAGGAGGTGGCCGGCGGCAGGGGGCGAAGCCCTTACGGATAATCGTAACACTCAAGATGCTGATGATCACCATCATCAACATCATCAGTATCACCATTATCATCATCATCATCATCATCATCAGCAGCATCATCATCATCATCAGCCTCATCATCGTCGTCGCCGCCATCATCATCATCATCATCATCATCAGCAGCAACAGCAGCAGCATCATCAGCATCATCACTATCATCAGCTGCTGCGGCAGCAGCATTGTGATCAATAGCGTCACCACCATACCCACCCCCATTTGCAACAGATCGTCGTCATCATCACCAGCCGCTGCACCAGCACTCGCAACAACAACATCAAGTTGGTCCTTGCATGCTAAGGCCTTGGGTCTCAAGTACATCAGGTTCTCCTCCACCCAGGGGGTCTGTCTAGAAGTTGATCCACAGGGTGATTGATCATCGTATCCACAAGTTAGTGCGCTGCCTCATCGATCCTCATCGTGTGCAAGGTAGATCATGGTCGGGGTTCAAGCGCGCAGAGCACGCTATCCGCCAGATCGCCAGAGCACGCGGCTTGCAATCCATCAGCCTCTCCCGCCGGGACGCCGAGGACGCCGAGGAGATCGACCTCGAGGCCTCCTCCCACCAGACCTTCACTGAGTACGCAGCCTCGCTCACGGACGCGGACCGCGGCCTCCTGGTCATCTACCGTAGCGGTGCGGTCACATCAGAGACGCGACGTCGGACAGGTTTCCCTTGCAAACTTTGCGGGAATTCCTTCCCGAGTGTCTGTCATCCTGTTGCAGAATGTCCCGCCCATCGGGGCGTTCGAGACGCTGCTTCTTTGAAGTATACCCTCCCTGGGCTGTTCTGGAGCTTGCTCCCACGTGTGATGGCTAAGTCAGGTTGGATAACGTACTCTCTCGGTGAAGATGTTCAAGACCGTGCCAGAATGCAGACTGCCGTGTGTACTGTCGGCGTCTCCATTTTGCAGCTGGGCATACAAGCTACACTTACAGATGCTACGCCTCTTCCATCAGGACAGAGACCCAGGGTGGCGCTGGTTATATGATACTACACGTGTGAGTTCACATCATCAGGCAGTCGATCTCAAACATTATTTTATTTCAACAACAACAACAAAAAACATGACAACCATCATCCTCGACGTAACCATCAGCTTTGTAGTAATCATCACCATCGTGTTCGTCGTTATCATCGGCATCGACATCAAAATCACCATCATCATCAGCAACATTGTCAACACATCCCACCCTCCCTCCCCTCCCCATCCTCCACATCCTTCGCCCAGCCCCAATACTCCTGCATCACTCTCCATCTCCCCCCTCCCCCATCCCTCCACATCCCTGCTACGCGAGGCCAATTCTTATACACCACCGCCGCCCGCAACAACAAATACTTGCAAAAAATGGTTGGAGACAGGGTCGCGCCAGATGGCGCTGCAGCCCCGCGGCGAACCGGAGCGCGGCGCGGCACGCGTGCGCCGTGATAGGGGAGTTCCTGAAGCAGAAACAGCACTTACTGGTGGTGATGTATAAGAACCGCTCCTCTTTGTAACCAAAACTATATACACCACCACCGTGTTTTGATGAATTCTGTCTCGATCAGCCCAGTTGCCGTTGGCGGCGAGAGGGGGCTGCAGGTTTCCACCAAAGCAAAAATGCACCAAATCGGATCATAGATTTTTCCCAATCTTGATGGTGGTCATGTATTGTGCTCGGATGCTACCCATCCACGTCGTCCTCATCACCCACTTCCTCCTCGGAAAAACGACAACGACAACGACAACGAGGACAACGCCGGGAAAGACAGACGACAGACGACAGGCGACAAACGACGACGACGATGACGACAACGACGATGAAGACCGACCCTGGGGCTTTCCTGGAGCGCGTTCTGACCAGAATTCCGAGCGGAACTCAGCCGTGACCACGAGGATGCCCCTGGAGGTCCAAGATAGACCTAATCCTGAAAGCTTCTCGGTCGTACCTCAAACAGCAATCATCGATCGACAACAACCGGCGACGACAACAGACGACGGCGACAGACGACGACGGGCGACGACCGCCGATGCCAGCCGACGACGGCGACGATGACGGCGACGACGACGACGGACGACGACGACGACAACGACGATGACGACGACGACGACCGACGACCGACGACGACGACGACGACGACAGACGGTGACGGCGATGGCGACGACAACAGACGACGGCGACAGACGGCGACGGCGCCGGCAGACGACAGATAACGACGAAGACGACGACGACGACGACGACGACAGACCGCAAGACCGACAGACCGACGACCGACGACCGACGACCGACGACAGACGACAGGCGGCGACGGGCGCGCGCGGGCGCGTGCGCGCGCGGC